TGCATACAGAGTGGAGAAGTGGGCCATGTGAACTTTAGCCTACCACTGCTTGCCATGTGAACTTCAGCAGATGTTCTCTCCTGCTGCAGCACTTCAGAAAATGTACTGTAACTTCATTAATGATCCTCAACTCCTACATACAGCATGCTAAAATTGTTACTGACACACAGCTTCTGTGAGAAAGCAAGAAATCTCACAAGAATTTTTAAATAGCATTAAATCAAGATTCACTTTTCAACCTTGTCTTATGGCTTAGGAAACTATGCATTCAGAAAGAAGTCATCTTTCTTTAGACAGCTTCTTTTTTCCGCAGCATATCTTTCTTTGAACTAGTTTTTCCCATTAAGCAGCACAGAAACACAGTGCATATTTTTATTAACCAAATGAAACCAGACCAGAGAGCATTTAGTAGCTTTCTGGATTTTTATGTCAATCTAGTGAAAATGAGCCCTAGCAGCAGATACAGCTGATGAAGCAGAAGGAGTTATATGGGGTTGTGTTCACAGGCACAGCTAGATAGAGTCTACCTGCACCTACTCAGATCCTCAGGTGCACATGCAAAGCCTGCCTTGACACATCACTTGATGAAAATCTTGTACGTTAAACAAGATCCAATCTGTAATGTGGCTGCCAAAACAAGTAAGCCCAAATTCCACTAGACCCTTACGCTGAGAATTTCTAAGTGGGAAGCTGTACCGCAGCTGGAGAACAGTGCCCACACAACGAAAGTCCTGGCCACCAGCACAAAAAAGCAGAATGTTCTTGGTGACACTTTTGGTGGATAGTTGTGGCAGGGAAGGTTAGCAAGAATGAAAAGAGGTAGAAGCTAGCATACAACATACAGAAGAAGCAAATAAATATGCCCATACATACCAGCAAAGGTTCTACTTGATTCATACAAAAAGAGGCTCTTGCTGGCTGCAGCTCCAATGTCACATGAAAGGAACATACAGAGCAGGCGGCAGCAGTTTGTTTAGGAAATTTTCAGGTTCCTGGTCTCCTCTCTGCTATAGGCCCAAATGGACCTTAATTTAATTTCGCCCTGTTCTATGCCTGTAGTAAATACAAGGGTGAAAAAAAATAATCACAGAACACATGACAAACTTTTGGCTAATGGGATTCATTGCAATCTTTCTGAGGTGTCAAAAGTGAAAACAAGAAGACACCTCTTTGCTCTTAGAAAGCATTGCAATCTGCTGTAACTCTACTAAGGACTAAATTTAAGACACTATAAAGACAAGATGTGTTATTTTAGTTCAGCCCTAAACACTTCTTTTTGTTCCCTTTTTTTTTTTTTTAAAGACAAATCAAACATGCATTTTCAGAATAAAGAGAATCCATTCCAGTCAAACTCAAAGGATGTCTACCCTCAACTGCAAAACACATCAAAACATTTGGATCTTTTTAGTGAAATACATAACTAGCCTTATATCTGACAAGAAATAGTTTCATTATCTACAATGTTACTTTTGAAGGAAGAAATGGGTTAAGAAAGCGTGCCATGGCTCCACAGACCACTGCACTGGCAAAGTACAATACTGCAGGACTGGTGACACAAGATGTGCCTAACATCACTGACAGCCTTTTCATAATTTTTGTACTTAATTCATCTCCAACCAGAAGTTTAATCTCAGGTAAACTGTAGGGAGGGAGGTCAGAACTGCATCCAGCTGGTGAGTCAGAACCACAGCCCCACCATGATAGTTTCCTATGCCTATTCAATGACAACAGCAGTTTCGTCTTACCACAATATTCCCAACGTCATTTTGGGAAGTCAGTACTACATGCAGCACAGAGCACGTGTGCACATTCAAAAGGCTAGAGGAAAGCAGGTAAGCCTAGGAGAGAGTCAGGCCTAATAGAAGGAGTTAGTTCTTCATACAGCTTACCATCACATCTTCTCTTTTTCAAAGTAATTAATTGTATTGACCCGTGGTAAAAAGTGACTGGCTGTAGTAAAATTGCCTGCATAAAGGACAAGATGAAGAAAGGAAAATTAAATGACCACTGAATGGGTGATCTAAGAGATTACCAGAAGTGTCAGGATCAAGGAAAGACTAAAAACCTGAAAAAAAATCACACCGATTTAAAGACTAAGCTGAAGTCTGGCACATTCTGAACCATTTGCAAGCTTGCCTCTAGAATGGCTGGGGAATATACAACCCGTGCTTAATTCAAGGCAAGTTCAGGACACAGCACCACTTGGGATTAAGGCCCTTTATCCTTGCTTCTGATAATTCTCTGCATTTCAAAATCAACCAGGAGGTATAAGGAAGATCATCTTCCATTAGGCAAAGACAGCAAGTGAATTTTCTTCTTCACAAGGGATTGCAGTTTTCTTGAAAGAAGAATGTTTTCAATTATTCAAAAACTGGCCTAGCACACAGCACCAAGATCCTAGACCCCGCAGCTTTCTGAACTCAGTGAGCTCCTTCAGCTCCTGGCAGCACAGTGTGAGCAACATCTAGATCCAAGATTACTGACTTCATAACTTCTGGATTTGACAGAGAGTGCTCTCCCCAAAGTGGCTATGTTGCATGTAGGACAACTGCACACTAAAATTTGTAAAGTACAAAAGATTGCTAAGTGTCAGTTCACAGACCACAAAAAAACCATATGCAGCCAGCACTGAGAATTGTGTGCAAGAGGAGGCAGAAACACAGCTGAACAACTTACTCTGGTAGTGGGACCAGAAGGTAACAGGGAATGGTTTCAGGGTCATTACGTTCCTCAAGCTGTGAGAAGCAGCAAGGAGTAGGGAACCTGGAAGCATGGACATTTATTATCCACCAAACATAAGCACTACCTGCTCCCCCTCCCCCCAAGCTGCCCACTGATTAATTTTTGTAATCTTTCTTCTTGTCTGGTAGTCAACATGTACGTTGCTTAAGAATCACAAATTATACAGATGAGCCTGAAAGCTCACAGGCTTTTTGGCAAACGTTTAGTTCTCTGAAAAGACATGGATTTATAAACGAACTCTAACTACTGCAGCCTTACCAGAAGCTTAGCTTACAGTCTAATACCTGTAACAATAAAATACTTAAAATAAGAGTTACAATATAGGTAATAGAACATAACTTGGAATTAGAAAGTGACTTTAATCCCTTACATTGACATCTTAAAAAGCATTTGGATAAAAAACTTCCAAGCTCACTTTATGAGATCAACACATTAAGTCTCAGAGAAGCCCCTCACTGTTGACAAACCTTGTGCTATTCACCCTTAATACTCATTGCAGTTTCAGTTACGTTTTAAGATGTTTTTCATCCTTGTCTTTTCAATAAACTGCTCCGTTCAAAGTTTTTGACAGCCAAGATATGTGTGAAGAAAAGAAAAATCAGTCAGCATTGTTCACCATCATTTTAATCTCCACCCAGAGAAAACAATATAAACTTGTTAACATAAACAGAAAATGTTTTGAAAAAGACCATATACTACTATGACAGGGATTTAGTTTATAGAAATGTAATTTATAATTTTATAAAAATTATATGAAAGAATTACAACGTCTCTCAGTAACATCAGACAGTATATAGAAAAAATAAATCTCAACATTAGTTGTACTCTGATGGTCCTTCTGGTAAGAAATTTAAAAGTGCTTTTTAGTAACAGTGTTGCAACTCAAGATTAGTGCAATATGTCAAATCTGTTTTAAAGAAGCTATTTATAGCAATTGTGCAAGTTCTTATAATGAACAAAGCCCATCAATCTAAAAATTAAAACTAAGTGAGGTAAGTATTCTAATTAGAATTAATCATGCCTTACATAGCTCACACCAGTTCTGCTACAAGGAAAATATTGGTGTTCCTTCACAGAAAGGCTCAAACCTAAACGTGACATGAAATTTCTACTACAAACCAGTAAATTCTTGTTTAAAAAAGCTTGTTGCAAAATATAGTTTAGTACATTTACAACTACAAACAGTACCTAATGCAAAATATACCAACTTAAATAAAACCAAACTTTACAGCTAGTGTACTGAATTTGCTTCTGAATAAATTATCTTGTTCCCAAAACCTCCCAGATGCTCCCATATAAAGTCAGCACTTTAGAAATTTCAATTTCAATTTCAGCAATTTAGAAATAGAAACTATAGAAATTTCACTGTATTTTTATCTGTAAATATAAACAATTTGGGTACCAACTATTACTGCAACTATGAGTATCATTACTCTTTGAGCAAGTGAAAAAACAGCATTAGTTGTGAAGAAACCAAACCTAAATCTACTCTTCATTGTTCCATGCATGACAACTGGCAATAATAAAATACACACTATATTTCTATGTAATATTTTATACAAGAATTCTCAGAACTCTAAAATTAGTTTTCATTTTACTGTGGTTTCTTTATTCTGGAATTTACAATGCGTAGTAACTATTGCCTTTTATAAGTAGGCCTTATTTTGAGAGGCAAAAACTAGACTGTTAATGCTGAGCCATTATGGCTCATCTGCATATGGAGCCAAAGGCATTTCATATTTTATTTCTCAAGGTTTTTATAAGTAGGATTTAAGTCACTATTAACAACAGGAATAAAATATAAATTAAGGAACTTTCGTTCTAATAGACTACAGCTTAAAAGCCTACCAACAGAACTGGTTTTTATAATACTGTACTTTAGTATTGAACCGACAGTTGAAACCTGCACAGATCTCACAATATTTCAATAAAAACCCCAATAAATAAAATGCAGTATCTAAAAAAGAAAAGCCAGTAGGTTAAGCCCATATTTCTAACCACCACAGTATGAACTGCACCATCCGAAATAGGCCTGGGACACTTTGGATACCAACCGCATAGGTCTTTCAACATAACAGACTACCCATAACAATAAGAGAAGCAGTTAAAGCTTTCTACAGTAATACTATAAACTGAAAGACAGTACCATTGAGTGTATGTCTCAATTAGCTTAAAAGGATACTTGAGCCTTTGCTCAAGACAGCTTCGGAAGTTAGACACAGTTATGTTGTGACTACATATCTCTGCTCTATCATTTTACAGGCAAGTTGAGTCTTTTTCAGTATGTTGTATTAACCCTGATAATGATGTGAAGACTTCCTGCTCCTAAACCAGGAAGTTGTTTCCTAAAATATAGTCATTTGTCACTGCAGTGACAAGTTGGTTAAGTCTTTAGCAGAGTCTCTAATCATCTGTTTTACCTTGGGGTTTTCAGCTCCACTGGTTGCTAGCTACTTGTCAATAAGCCCCAGGTTGTGCAAATTGAGGATGGAATCGGCAATAATCCGCGCTGTCCTCTTCTGGTAACCTCCAGATGTCACCATCAGGATTGGGATTCTGCGGCTTCTAGCAGCCTTGAACACAATTTCATCTCTCTTCACAATTCCCTGCAAGTTTAACAGTAAAAAAAATTAAAAAGTGACATGAATATGAGATATTTTAGTTCTAGCCTATGGTTTACGGATTTGAAATAATGGAAGCTCTATCAGTGACTAAGCCCCATATTTTACAATACAAATAAAAAAATTAAAAGTCCCTTAGGCAGTTTACATGCATAATCATGAAAAAAAAAAAGAAGTAAAAATAGCAAATCAAAAATCCTAAAAATCCTTCACTTAGTTTTAGAGGACACAACAGATAAAAATCTTTAGTTTAAATTCCTTGAAAGGCCATGAAGTCTAAACTGACTATGAAGTTTAGAAAAGTTCACCCTATTGTAGAGGTGAGGAATTGAGACTAAGAAAGATTGTCTGAATTCAAAGTACTTCAGATTGTGCTCAACTTGCATAGCACCCTCTGACAAAAGTTTAGCAACTTCATCAAGTTTTCACAAACCTACAGAGAACCAAAACTTCAAATCAGATTTTACACGTTCATAATTGCTAGCTGAATTATAAGCTTCCAGTTCTTTAATAAAAGCTAATACTAAAAGAATGTATGGCTGAAGGGGGAGTTACTTACTTTCTGCAATAGTAAATCCATAGAAAGGCAAATAAATTCTAAATAACCTTTTAGTAAGAGAGAAGGGTATGGAAGTGAAAAAATAAAAGATTGTTACCCAGAGATACTGTACTGTCATTGAGCCCATACAGCAGAAGTTTTCAAGTCTCTTGGGTTTCAAAAAAGTACACATGGGGAACAGGAGAGAAGTCAGAACATACATTTGTGGAAAAAAGAGAGTTCCAGAGATAGAAGGAATAAATAATACATCACAACTCTTAAAAAAAAAAACCAAACAGACTAACAACATAATAGACAACAGCTTACAACATACAGCTCGAAATGTAAGTAACTGCAAAAGTTGGGGAAGGGGAAAGGGATTAAAATGCAGTGAAATACAAAAACGTAAGGAAGCAGCAGCAAAAGTATTATGGCAAAATGAATAGGCACTACGCAGATTGGCTAGAGGAAGACTGTAAATACATCAAGGAATATTACCCTGCCATTAAAAAAAAATTAAATAATCAGACCACAAACAAATGGTAAAGAGTAAAATACAAATGTAGCTGAAAAAATATTTTGCAAAACCATACAACAATAATGGGTTTTGTATAGTTTGACACAGTCCTGTAAGAGAACAATGGGAGTAAGAAAAATAACTGAAAAATAAAAGACAAAGAAATTGAAAAATTATATTAGGAACAGATCCTTCAAGGAAGTAACACAGTTAGAGAATGAGCCCTGTGTCTCTTGGGAACCATCGCTAGATGCAGCGAACATCATACCACGCAGAAATTGGAAGCAGACGCTATTCATAGAAGCCTAACTGCCTCATCCCTGGTCCAGCCTCTCTAGTGGCTAGGCCTGGAAGAACTGAGGGGAAAACACGTGGGCTTATTCCAGCATTTGCATGTTACCAAGAAAGAAAACACACCAAATGAAAACAACAGTCTGATACAGATCTCACCCACAACCAAAGACAAAAGGTACTTTACACCTCAAGTTTTCTGGCTACAGCCTCAAGCACCAAGAAACCACCACTCATAGCACTCTGAGGAGGCGTAATTTTGAGTAGAATTAATGCTGCAGCAAGGTTTTAAAACACAAATGACATCTACAACTGCAGGACTGAAGACTGACTATCCTGGTCCATTATCCAGGTTCAAAGCCTTCAGTGTCAGCATTTCAAGCTTGGTGAAACATGCCATTCACAGCTAAGCCAATAAGATCAGAGAGACCAGAAACCGTGCCCTCAAATCAGAAAAATAAGGCTTGAGCTACAGAAACCATCAGGCATCTGAGCTACTGGCTGCACAGAGAAATGGCACTTTACCATGCCCCTCCACTTGTGACCACAATAACCACTTCACCTCCCTTTCCCCACCCCTACACTTTGTCCCTTTCCCTTCACAGCAGCCAACAAGCTACAGCAACTCATTTTTCTTGGCAATTAACACTGCTCCTTCTCGAACGACAGAAAAAATTTGAAAAGGCACATCTTAGAAGTATTCTCATCCATCACTAGTTTCCATTTCTCTTGGTGGCCATTGTTTTCCAAAAAATCTCTGCTCCACCAAATGGGGTCTTACGCTGCAGGTCATCCCCTCTCACAGGTCAAAACCAAGTAAGTTCAAGCCCCTCAGCTCTTCCTTTCTCCTTAGAGACTTGTACACAGCCATGGAACCAAAACCTAGAGATTCAGAGTGGCTCCCAAGCCATTCTACCTTGGGTCCATCAAACACTTTGCAGGCAGTCAGAAAGCAGCAAAGCAGCTGCTCTGCAACAAGACGCTAAGAATGAGGAAATACATACAGAAGCCAAGAAAACCTAGCAAGGAACTAGAGCTCTATGCAAAAGAAAGCATTTGAGAACCACAGTACTGCAGAATAAAACGAGAACTGAACAGATTGAGCAATGGCTTGATCTGAAGGGAATCCGAGCACTCACAAATCAAGTAAGCACTCCTCCATATTGAGCTGGTGGACACTGAAGGAGAACTAAATGTGAAAACAGGAGAGAGACATACAGAACCAAGGAGCTGCCACAGAAGGAATCACAAAAAAACAGAGGAAATACAAGATCTGTACATTTTTGTTTACTTTGAGAAAAGCTAACTTGTTGTATCTAGATGTCTTCACCTTCTACAATGCTATACAGAGTACATCAAAATTTAAATCTGGTACCAAACTAGGGAGACAGAAGGTAAACTGAAGAAGGGCAATGATATGTGTATAGAAAAGAATGAGGAAAGAGAAAAACCTTTTCATTTGCTAAGAATACACAGTCAGGCTGCACAAATTTGCTAGAAATGGAGGATATCAGGAGAGCAGTTTAAAAGAGTACTACAGAGGAAATAAAGTGTAAGATACATACTGGAGGCAGGTGTCAAAAGAAATGCATTGCAATGTGGGCTATGTGAGGATAAAAGAAACAAAGAAAGCACCGAACAGAAAAAATAAGAGTCAGGAAAATTGTGAAAATACGAGTCTTTCTGGTTACTGTCCGGATGTTCAAAACCAGCGTATTTCAGAAAGAAGGCAGATGGTACCAGAGCAGGCACCTGAAGAACGTTTAGTCAGGAAGAGACAACAAAAACCATATGGTGAGAGAGCAACAGAGCTGTTATCTGTACGTTATCTGTAAGAGAAAAACGCTCTGGTTCAGCGTGAAGCACGCACCTCACCTTCACCTACCAAACGGCCACAAGCCGCTCTCGGCACTGCCTTCAGTACCTTGCGAGGAGCGAAGGGCTGTAGGTATTTTAGCATTATACAAACCTGAGGGGAAATAGCAAGTCCTCCCAATGGATCACCATCCAGGATATCAGTCCCAGCATTATAAACAATAATGTCAGGTTTTAATTCATTTAATGCTCCTTCCACGTGAGTATGTACTTTCTGAAGATACTCTGTGTCCTCTGTACCCCACTCTAATTCCACCTTGCGTTTTATGGCACCTAAAAAGAAAAAATGTTTTGATATTACGCAATAAATAAAGCATTGCTTTGGAAGAAAATGCAAGATTTAAGTAAGCAAGAGAAAAAACATTTCTGGAAGCTTTGTGAATATGTTACGTTTTCACAGAACCTTGTATTACAGAAAATTATTCAATTACTTGCTTTCCCAGTAAATATAAGCACAGTGACCTTGAAAAAATTTCACTGAAGAGAGAAAATTAGATGCAGGGGTGGGGAGGAGGGGGAATCTGAAACACAAGTGGAAAATGTTATTGAAAAGCAGCTGATCTGGATGTCCATGTACCAATCAGCAAAGAAATCAAAGAAAATTATTAACTTAAAAGTAACCTAAATAAAGCATAAGGGAAAGAAAACACTGATCTGCTATTGCAGAGGAAATAGTTGGGAGAAATCATAAAATAAATATCACTAGAAATTAAGATGTTTTATAACAACACTCAAAACTTTCCAGCAAGGGATCACAAATTTAAGTAAACTGCTTTGTGAATGTATAACTAGATTCAGCTTTGCCCCAAGCATTGTCAATTTGATGTTCTTACCCTGTAATCCTACCAGAAGAGCAAATATCTATTCTTAATTTAAATCAAATTATTTCTAATGCTTCTAATAAAGCATTAGAAGTAGAAGAGGAGGGTTGAGAAGGCAGAGGAAAGTAACCCAAGGTTATGCAGCCTAGCTTCGGGTGCTTTTACAGTTACCTGTAACTGTAAATTAATATGAATTAATAAAATCTACAGAGGTGTTTCAAGGTATGACTTCAACCTCACCACATCCTGTGCCTTCAGTTAAATGACCTGGAGTCTTAAGTGTGGATTAAGTACCCACCAAGCTTGCATGAATGCATTCAACACTGCATGATACTCATTGATTCCTGTGACTACCTGAGGCAGGGGGGTGGAGGGGAGTGTTTCTGCCTGCACCCTTGCTCAACATTCATTCCTTTATTTTACTGCATCATTATTAGTTTTGAGATTTCTGGTTCTTTACTATCAGCAGAGCACACCACTGCAGCCACAGCAAGTTCCATTGCTGGGCGCTAGATTGAGGCATACGGGAGGGTCCCAGAGGGTCAGGGAAACCCGAGGAAGAGCAGAAAGCCCTGCCAGGAGCTGGCAGCTCTCGCAGGAGAGGTTGATGTGTCTTGGACATTACCAGAAGAAACCAAGGGAGATCTGAACGGCCCTAGGGAACGCTATCAACTAGGAGTGCTGCGACCAGAGCGTGCAAACAGGGATCGAGAGGGTGCAGCAGTTCACCTCAGAAGGGCGTGCACCCTGTTTGTAGGCCCACAGCCCAGGGAAGCGCTCTTGGTCTCTGCCATAATGGTGGGCACTCACCTCACAGTTAAAAAAAGTGTTTCTACAGAGAAAGCCCTGAGATGTCTGATACTTCTACCCAGACAAAAGTGGTAAGGAAGTAGACTTCAGTACAGAAGGTAGGTTGTGGTGAGAAGAAGTGTAAAAGAAGTGCACAGGCTGATGCTTGCAGGGGACAGCAAAAAGGCTGTGTGGTGTAAGAGGGACTGAGACAGAGATAGGTAAGTGGTTTCAGATTCATGCTCCTGTAGCAGACACCAACAGAGAATGAAGCACCTTGGGCCCTGGTGACCCACGAAAGCAAGACTCTGCTTCAGTCTCCAGCCTCCAGCATTTCAACCAAAACCAGATATGAAGTTGTAGATGCCCACAAACAAGGCATGCAAGGAGAAACTGTACCAGCAGCACACAGTAGATACTGCAAAAAGAAACAACAAGGGCTTGTAGTGGGCAATGCCCTGTTCAGGGGCCCTGAGGCGCCCATCTGCTCAGTCACAAGAGGTATGCTGCCTTCTGGGAGCTAAGGTCGATAGGGTGCCACAACCTGTCAAGAGCACAGACTCCTCTTTCGCGTGGGCAGGAATCCACAAGTCGGAACCTGGGCAGAATCAAGGAAGACTACAAAGCCCTGGGGGTGCAAGCGAAAAGTACTGGTGTCCATACTCTTTTCTTCCATTCTGCCAGTTAGACGAATGGGTGTAGCCAGAAAGATGTACAATGCAAATCAACTTCTGGCTTCCTGGCTGGTGTCATGGTGAGACTTTTGGCTTTTACAACAGTGGGACATTCTTTGATGACTACAGCCTGTCAGGGAGGGATGGGATCCACCTGCCTAGAAGAGGAAAGGGAATTTCTGGCACCAGGCTGGCCAGCTTGACAGGGACTTGGGGGATGGGGTCCACAGTGGCAACCCTTACACCATTGCAACAAATTGGGGAATAAGCCAGACAAACCAGCGGAGTGACAAACGTTCCTTAGCTGTCTGCCAAGATGAGAAACAGAAGACCAGCCACCTCAAGTGTATGTATACCAACACACGCAGCCTGGGGAACAGGAGGAATTAGGGCTCCGTGCCCAGTCAGAAAGTTATGATATCACAGGAATAACTGAAACATGGTGGGACAAATATATGACTGGAGGATCACGGTGGATAGGCTATTTCATAAGGACAGGCAGGGAAGAAAAGGAAGATGAGGAATCATGCTCTGCGTTAAGGAGAACCTTGAACTATGGTGACTGTGGAAGCCTTATCAAATGTCTCTGGGTCAAGATCAGAGGGGTCATCTCCAAGGGGGATCTTACAGTAGGCATCTGCTACTGACCTCCAAGCTAAGAAGATAAAGCCAATGAAGCAATATTTGGGTCACTTAAGCTTCAGTTCAACAGAACCTGGTTCTTATGGGTGACTTCAACTACCCAGACATTTGTTGGAACATCACAGCAGCTCACGTCATCGGTCAAATTCCTGGAACTCTTAGAGGCCTGCTTCCTCATACCAGTGTTAGCTGTGCCAACCAGGAGCGAGGCACTGCTGGACCCATTGCTCATAAACCAAGAAAAACTGCTTTGTAATATCAGATCAGAGATAGACTTGGCTGCAGTGATCACAATATTGTCGAGTTTGGGATCCTGCTGAGCATGCTGAAGGTCATTGCTAAGACAAAGGTTTTAGATTTTAGACAAGCAAAACTTCAGCTTGGTCAAAGCTCAGTTGGGAGGGATTCCATGGGAAGCTTCCACACAAGAAAAAGGAGATAGTAAGTGCTATGAGATTTTCAAGAACACTCTCCAGGAAGCACAAAACCAGTTCATCCCTTGTAAAGGTAAGGGAAGTAGGTGGAGCAAGAGACCCCCTTGGCTTAACTGGGAATAGTTTAAAGGATTTAGCTACTGAACTCCTATTTAGACACCCTTAGACAACCTACGTATTCACATGCCTTTGGCTGAAGCCTTCTGGACCTCGTGCTTCATCTGTAGGAAAGCAATGCTAGTATTTGTAGTCTGACAAGAGAGGGTGAGTTCAGTATTTCAGATTTGCTAAGAAGGGCTTACTCTGTTTTGGTCTTAACCCACCTGCTCAAAATGTGGCCATTTGATATAGGAATAAAGGGATGCTTGAGGGGGGATCTTCATTTGCTTGCATTTTGTCTGCTTAGACACGATGTGCTTTAAATGGTCATTTTTTAGTTTCATACCTTGAAATACATATACTACAATTTTCAAAATCTTTTCTAGCTGCAAAACTGAAGGACAATACACTGCCCCTAATTCTTGCCAAGAATCCAAATTAAGAAGGCTTTTCAGAATGACAGCATTATTGAGGAAATTCAACAGCAAAAGAACATCTCCCCCAATAAACTATGATTCAGTTAACAAATTGCAACAGTGCAACAGAATCAAAGATCAAATAAGCTTTGAGCTTTGGCATTCCAATTTAACCATTATCAAAACTCCACTAATTAATTGTTACAGGTCACCAGACACAATAGGCACATCACAGTAGGGATAAGCAAAGCACAACAAAAAATGAAGCACCAGCTCTTAACATCTGTATGACTTCCTTTGCTTCCCAACTTGTTTCACATTCAGATACATCTTGTTTTCTAGATGCTTGTAAAACAAGTCCTACTGGAAAGACAACACCTAAACATATCATTATATATATGAAACTGTTTTACACAGTATTAGCTAATCCTTAGTAAATTCTTTATAAAATTAGGATAAGGGAAAGATTAACTTCTAACAGATATTTTCAAGTCAAAATGATTATTTAACTCAATGTTCTAAGCAAGGCATGAGCTTCTGAATGGGCTGATAACAAATGTCACAACACTCACAATTGCACTCCAGAAATTCATTCCAGAAGTGAGGGAAAACACTACAGGTTTAACACTATTGTGACATTCCACAGTGACCATTGAAAATCATGTGTTCAATGTAAAATTAAAAAAAAAAAAAAAGAAAGAAAAAAATCTAGTTAACATTGTTACAAGGAAGTTTATTAAGAAATGAAGCAGCAATTTACAACACAGTAGATATTTCACATTCTGGAATATGAATTTCAATTGTACTTACGTTTAGCAAATCCATCCCCTGGATAAATAGATCTATTGTACACATCCATAATATATACCCGATGATCATCCATGAAGTCCCTCTCGTGGCCATTTCCCTGAAGGAGATTTACCGTTAGCCATTCCTGCCATACTAATACAGAACTAAATGCTCTGCAAATTCGAGAATAATTAAGATGACAAAGATCTAATATTTTAAACTCCTGTATCATTCCCCTATTTATAGTCTTGAAGGTTATTTTGAGGTGTAGAGCTTTAGGGGTCTAAACACTGCAGCTATTATCAAAATCAACATTCTTATATCTCTGTGAAGGTACTTATCATAGATCTCATTGCACATATGAGAAAAATAAACAAAAATTAGAATGCAATTATCTTCAGCAGCATCACAAAAAGAACTGTGACCACCAAATAAACCTCTCATCTTCCAATTGTGCCAAAAAAGTCACTTTCAACTGCTGTGGGGATACTCATTCTTATACAAGGTTTAATAAATAAATGAATAAATACAGGAGACTACAGCTCTTCTGCTAATTCAAGCCTTGGTGAGATTAACAATCCCTGGAAAAATTAACAAACACTAAGGACCCAACAGTTTAACATACTGTTTAACACCAGGAATTCCCTACAAAAAGACTGTATTGAGTGTAAAAGATGCTCAAAGAACACTCAGATTGTGAATATTTCTCCCTCCCCCACTTCTGACTTTAAATACTATTCTTTTGGTTCCCGTTTAGACTTTCTGCCACTAGTATAAAAATAATCTTTCCATTGCAATCACTAAGATAATTTTGTTGAAATGAGTGTATCATACAGGACCCCACCCCCTATCCCCAACAGAATTTCATTTAAACTACAGAAACAGACAATTCCATAGATATATCTTCTATAATTCACTTATGTGATTTATGTGCCTGGACAGCTAAGCTATATTTCTGCTACAACTTCCCCTCTTGGAAATCAGCAAAAGGGAAAAAAAAGGAAGAATCACTGGGCTAAAGCTAGTCAATGTGTCTGAGAAAGTGAATGGGAAGCACCAGAATAACATTTCTTTATGCTAAAAAAAAGGCAACTCCTACTTGTTTCTTCAGCACCTTTGGTCCACAAATAAACAGTTCATGGATAGAAATCTAGGAATGAGAGCCTCTGGGTGAACCTTTGTCTTAGGAAAGGTGAAACTCACCAATGCGCCAAGAACCGTCACACTTTGAAAATGAGAGTATCTGTGCACTTAAAAAGGATCTGCTGAGCTACTACTTCTCCCACCTTTCATTCCCCAAAGAAAGGAAACAAAGGGGTGATTTAGCATGCAGACTGATATTACCAGCATGAAACCTGAAATCAAAATACATTCCAAGTAGTTTTTTAAAAACTAAAAAGCTCAAAAAAGCCACACCCTGACAGAGATCCCTGAAGAGAATCATGAACACAAAACTCTAATTCTATAATCTGTGTCCTTATTTCATAGTAATTTTAGGATGCCTGAATTTGCAGATAAGAGAAATTATATATGATGGAAAACTTGGAGCCATTAGGCTTCCTCACTGCCATGGAGCTACCTAAAAATGGTTTATTTACACATCATAAGTTACCTTCAATGCTTCAGATTGGACATAATTTTGATGCATTAACTGCTCTTCTAAAAATACTGTTTCCCTCCTTCCAGGATTTATTTTTGAACTCCTACCAAAGACGAGATTTGTTCTCGGTACCCACAGTAAATCGTTTTACCAGAAGAAGCATAATGTATTCTTTACTTCATTAGCCCAAAGCAAGGCTTTCCATTAAAACACTGAAGGTCTAATTCATCTCCTGCAAAGGTTGCTGCATTGATCACGCATGCTGAACTAACTGTAACTCTCTTTTAAGAGATTCTTGTTTTCTCTGGGATACGGATCTACTCTGGAGACTATTACACCTCAGATCTGTACACAGCTCGAAAATATTTTTTACATCCAGCCACATGATGGAGCTACAACTCAGTTTAATTTTATTAAACTGGCTTAGCAGCCTTTTGGAACATAAAGTAATTAACCACCTAAACCGTTCAGTTTCCACCATCTATGATTAACTTGGTATTCTGAGAGTTGTCAGCTTATATTACTATTAAAAAAAAAAGAAAAAAAAAGGTATTTATCGCACACTTGTATTTAGAGCAAACCATCTGCAGGACTGAATACAGGTAAGCTACTCACCTGATGAGCATCCAGATCGATAATTGTGGCTTTAGAAACCCCTTGTACTCTTTCAAATAAGAACTGAATATAAAAGCAAAGAAAAAGATGGAGGAAATTATGAAGTCAGGTCACAGATTAAACTGGAGGCTGGAAGTTTACAGTGTTCTGTTTCAAACTAGTGCATGTCTATTCATTTCATTCATGAAATAAATGGCTAAATGATTCTAATATATTTATTTACAAAAGCTCTAGTTATTTGACATAAAGATATTTTTTGTGGTTATGCTATAAATAACCCCATACATTTTCACCAGATGAAATGCAGGAAACATGCATTTCAGAGTTATCTGTGCAGGTATCTGCCTACTTGTAGAGAAGCTTGGCAGCGAGAGGGAAGAAAGATTTCTGCGCATCTCCTTTCTCCCACAGAATACCAGACACAACACAGGATCAAGGATGTGTCTTTCTACAGTATCCCACACTAACATGTAAAGCTGACTCTGCAAATGAAGCATAAGCCCAATGGCAGTGAATAACACAATGGAGTCCAGGATAATAAACCCTGCTGTAGTAATACTGGCCCTACCCAAGAGCAGCTGGTGCATCTCTGCAACCTGCACCAACCAAGATGAAAAGCACGGGTCCACCTAGGGATTACAAAGCTGATTGTGGCATTGGTGCTATCTGAGGCTGGAATGGAACCAGCGACTGCAACAACTGCGCGATGGGAAGGGGTGAAGCGTGAGCTGCATGGGTCCCAGCATGGAGGAGCTAACTTCAAGAGACACAAACGATAGCGTAAGTGAGGCTTATCAGCAGGAAAGGAGAAACAGTCCACGATGATGGCATCCAATTGTTTAAGCATAACATTCACCATTTCAGAAAGACTGCTGTAGGGCCTGTATATATTAAAGCCACAGAATTCACTTCTTGCTCCATGTCTGTGATGAAAAAATATTTCTCTAATTCTTTGACCAATGACTATCTTTAATATAGACATGGTAAACCCCAAAGATTTTGTACAAACTGTCACCTGCTATAATTTCTCAATCTGTATTTTAATGATAGGGAAATCAGAACACTCTGGTTTACTTTTCCACAAATTACCCTGTACAGAAATCAGGATGTTATGTCACAGTGTGCTGCAATCATTAAAGCTTTTTAACGTTTGATTATCACCAATACTTTATAAATATTCTAATACCATAGTACATTTGATACAAATAAGCCCTAATTGCAAAAGACTCCTGCTCTAGCCTTTCAACAGCTAAATACCGAATACATTCCTTCACTTCCAGTGATTGGTTTGAGGAGACATTCACATTTTTATTCATGAATTCGAACCACTCTGAGCACTGTATAGTGCAGCTTGATTCAGAGAAGAGGATTTCTGTCTTCCATTCGCCTTGACTGTAACTACTGAAACGAATGTGGAATCTTCGGGTTCAACTGCCAGGCTAGGATAATTATCACTGAGGTTATTAAAGTCAATCTAGTTTGATTTTGAGTGGGTTTTCTGCAAGAAGGCATTATTAATGCAATTGTAGTGGTTCATATTTACATTTATAATTCTGATCCCTGCAACTCTTCCTTTCCACTTAACAACACTGCATAAACATTATGTTCTGCAGCATCAAGTACCATACCATTTCCCTATTCCTACCCATCTAGAGATGGCTTTATTTTCTCTGATAAAGATATAAGTTAGTCCTTATGAATTTATGTGGATTTTTCCCCATTTGCACAAACAGTAGAAAATACAGGTTTAAGAGTACTTCTTACCTTTATAGCCAGTGTGATATCAGCGTATGCACAAAATCCTCCACCTTTGTCACTTGAACAGTGATGAAAACCACCCCCTAAACATAAAATTGTTGAAGATGTGAATAGCTAGATACCAAGGAACAGAGACGGTCTTTGCAAAGAGACAGAGATCACTTACATGTCAGGCACTTCTTTTTCTTTAAGAAATACTGTGCCTGTTAAACGCTTACCTAGCAACAGAAAGCAGCTCATGGAGTTTCTGTACATACCTCGCGTGCCTACCAGACCATCAGGCACAGGATCTGCCGATGCCCAGATCAAAGGGAATTGCCTCTTTCATCTCGAAACTACCCTAAGAACCGAGACCTGTATGCAACATGTGGTGTGTCCAGGACAAAGCATAGGGCACTGAAAGTTTAGCTCCCCCAGGAATTCTGGCATTGCATAATTACCATTATGGGGCAAGTGGAAAGCCCATGGAAAATTCTTTTTGATGCTGTAAACCGGGTCAGAAGAAAGCCTTCTGCAAACACTCAGACCAGAAGAAACTTTAAGAAATCCTCTTTCACACACACTCTTTATATGAAAAAGTACTTAGGCACTCCCCCTGCCCCAGTATACTTTTCATATAATAAACCAGAACTTTTTACTGAGAAATCTACTACAAATATTTAAGCAAGAAACTTAAAAAGCTCACTTTATGTATTAGTAAATATGACAGGCTTTGGAGTTTGTTTTTAATGTCTGTTTCATTTTTAAACTTGGAGACATATTTTGTGTGTAAGAAATAATGTAAATATCCCAGAATTGAAGAGCACCATGAAAACAACAAGCTTAGGTCTTCAACAAAATATTGCATCAATAGTTTACTAGTTTTGTACTGCTATTTGCTATAAGCAGGAGAGCAGATTTATATTCACTATATTCAAAATTCATTCATTCAAGTGTTTTTCAGGAAAAACTGCACAGCCGAAACCAGACACTAACTGGTACAGCCCTGCTTTCCAGAATATCAACGAACCTCTTGATCTGGTATAATATATAAAGGAGCCAATTACAAAAAGCTATGAGAATTATTTAACAATTAAATAAAAACAAATATTTTGATGAAATATTTGCATTTACTCCAAATATTTTTCCTTAATTTTTTTTGCACTACTTCAATCCAAACATTTTTCCTTATATAAGAGACCTTTATCCAGCCACTTTTTCTTTAAAAAAAAATACTGTATTTAATCATAAAACATCAATACGGGTGATAGTGGATGAGAAAACAAACGCAGTACTTTTTCCATTTTTTTTTTTTCCTCCTTAGAACTGATTTTAGCTTAACACAATCCAGTCACCTTCTGTTATTCTAAACAGAATTCACATCATGCTAAATGAAAACAGTATGATGTTAAAGACACCCCTTTCAGTATCATATAGCACACTCATTTGCACTTACCCACGTTGATCGCCCAGCCTCTATCAACAGCAAGTTTTCCTGCCTTAAGAAAATTACAGTGAGACAACTTCATGAAGGCACAATGGAACCATTCAACACTGTCTGCTTCCACCCCAAAATAAACTCTTGGCCCCTTTGGACATGCCCATTGTACTTCTGGATGTTTTACCACTGCAGGTCATTCTGAATCAGATCTCTGAATAGGAACTATACAAAACTATTCTCAGCATAGTCAGTTGAAAAAATATTTGGTATCTCATCTGTATTGCATTCTCTGGCAGCTGAACAGATCTAAAAATAACTGCACTTTGCAGAGATAAACACCAACCCCTAGCAGACAAATGAGAAGGAGAAAGCACAGGTGTTGGTAAGAGTAAAAAATGAGCAAGAATCCTCTACTACACTTCCTCATCATGTAAAAATAGGAGCAATGTGAGCTCAAAATCCTGAAGATACAGTTTAACATAGTTTCAGTTGGGGATGTGACAGAAAAATGCTACAGTATGCAGTGTCCTGTGACTTTATTTTTTAAATGATAGAACATGCATAGTATAGAACATGACCAATCTATTTCCCTTCAATACAGAAAAAACAGTGACTGTATATCTCCTTTGAACTCAACAGACATTCAGGGAAGGGAAAGTATTGACAGAGAAGAGATACACAAGGCTTAAATAATCAGATTTTAATTGAAAAAAATGACTTATTTTGGCCAGGAAGAGTCAATCAAGTGTTTGGCTGCAGTATTCCTTAAGTGTCATGTTACCAAAAGATATGAAGATGCTCAGAGGGCTGGAGCCCTGCTGCTATGGGGACAGGCTGAGAGAGTTGGGCTTGTTCAGCCTGGAGAAGAGAAGGCTCCGGGGAGACCTTACAGCACCTTCCAGTGCCTGAAGGGGCTACAAGGAAGCTGGGGGGGACTTTTTAGAAGGGCCTGTAGTGACAGGACAAGGGGGAACGGGTTTAAATTGAAAGTGGGGAGGTTTAGATTGGATATCAGGAAGAAGTTCTTCCCAGAGAGGGTGGGGAGGCACTGGGACAGGTTGCTCAGAGAAGCTGTGGATGCCCCATCCCGGGAAGTGTCCAAGGCCAGGCTGGATGAGGCTTGGAGCAACCTGGTCTAGTGGAAGGTGTCCCTGCCCATGGCAGGGGGGTTGGAACTAGATGGGCTTTAAGGTCCCTTCCAACCCAAACCATTCTGTGATTCTACATTAATAGCTATAATTAAAAGGAAAAAAAAAAAAAAAGAAAAAAGGTAAAGACAGATAATTCTTTTCCACAATCACAGGAGGAACAACTTGTATATATATATATATGAAACGAACTTTGGACAGTTGAGAATTCTTCATCACCAATATTTATATTTGAACAGTTCTAATTTAGCATTAAGAAAACTATTGGGAAGGGGGGCATCATGTTATGAATATGCTAACTTACACAAATTAGATCTTGAAAAAGACTGTAGTTTCTGAACTATAAAACCCATTAAGTCACAGGGAAAGGACATTATCTGTGATTTAGGCATATTTCCTAGGGATTCCTCACCAAAAAACCAAGCTTCCTAAATTGCTAAAAAAAAAAAATCATTAAAAAGTACAGAAACTCAACAGCAATATTCATGATAAACAGGACCATAAGGAATAGCAGAAGACACTACTTCTGACTTGTAATGTACAAATTTTATTGTCTGATTAATCAAAACTGCTTTTAAATTACATACCTATTTCCCCATAATGAGAAATAAAAAAGGTATAAATAAAGGATATGGCATCAAGATCCACCCAAAGGTGACGAGTGATGTCATCTCCACTTCAGAAGGCACGATACAAAGATGTAACTCACAACTAGTGGCTCTCTTCTACACAACCACATTTATAACTACTGGACACACACTTACGAATTAAAGATAACACAAGAACAATGAAAACATCACAAAACTATATAAAAGTACTGATTACTCAGAACGAAGTTGAAATAGATTTCACATCCCTGTACTGTTAAGACCCTCAAGAAATATCAAAGGTAGAATGTTAGGAAACTCTAGACTCTTCCCAATTATTTTTCTCTTCTACCACATCCTTCATTCCTCATACCTACTGCTCAGGAAGGCAGCTATAATAAGAGAAGACTTTGCATAACCTTAGTCAAACAGGACTTGACGAACCAAAATCCCTCATCTCAAAACCCACTACCGACTGCAGTCAGAAACATGGCACAGAAGAGAGAACTGACCAAGAGTCTGAACAGATGCTGAAGGACTAAATGGAGACAGGATGGAGCTACTTCTTTGTCAGTGAGCAACAACCCAAAATTGTTAAGCACCTTGGATCTCTGTGAACCACAAGAAACCATAATTCTTTCTCTCTACTATTACCCAGCCTGTAACATTGGGTTAAAAAAAAAAAAAAAAGAAGTCAAACTACCCCTAGATTTCTCAGCAGTCCATGGAAAGGAAGGTTTACTACACAGGTATTAGCACCAAGCTAGTCTTGCTATCTCCAGCTCCGGCTGGTAAATTGCCAGGAGACAACACTACACGTAGTTTATGCAGGCTTGCACTGTGTTCCACTTCTATCATCTCTTCTGCCAGTTAATACCTGCTAAGGAAGGCAACACTTTTTGTGGTCTAGCCTATTACCATATTCCAATAATAAGATTTATCTGGAAGCTAACATGTTCTTTCCAAACTAAATTGTTCTTAAAGGTCAGTTTAACATTCTCAGCAGTTTATCTGGTTTTCTCATGCTTATGCAGACTTTCAGGTTTCAACAAAAGCATCAAACATCACCACACTGTACAAACACTTTCACATCTTTCCTTACCTCACTATTCTTTGACTTTAACTAACATGCACATCCAAGAAGACAGAGCAACACAAGAAAATTAAAATAGAATTAGAAATGGGATTTAAGAGGCGAGCACAACAGTTGGAGAAACAAGAGTACAAGGTGGGCAAGATGCATACAACTTCTATAAAAAAAATCCATTTCCCACTCAAAAGCCTGAACTGAAACCAGACTCAGCAACCTGCAGGGATACTTAAACATGGTGAATGTCACAGGACTTGCTGTTGTCCTAATGATTTAGGAAGAAACCACTGGCCATTTTTATTTAATGGCTCAGAGCAATAAGCAGCAGTTAACTCACTTCACACAGACAATTTCAGCATCAAGGAGGTGACTTCTTAACGTTTCCCTCCACTATCACCATGGTCAAAATCTTTCTGGAAATCTTCCTTTGCTACAATCATGACTCACCTTTTCCTCCAATCATCAGATGTTTCCTGAACACATGCATATTAGTACATTTTTTTCAACTACTCTGATCACTTCACAGTATCGTGAATTTATAACATAAACGCTGTATTACCCATTATAAATAAAATACAGCAGCTCGTAACACAGCTCAAACATGTTAAACTTTTTGAAGAGCTCCAGATTTTTAAATATCTATGACCACTGTTTTGGATATTACAAAGGGGAGTTAAAATGACATGCTTAAAACAATTAAAGCACACTATCAGAAGATGTTTCTGAATATTAACCAAGACGTTTAAGCCCAGTCAGGAGTTGTCCAGTCCATTCTAGTCCCTTCTCTACTACCTTTTGGTAACAAGAAGCAACAACTGGCAATGAGTTACTTTGCCAGGCTGGATGTGGCTTTGAGCAACCTGGTCTAGTGCAAGGTGTCCCTGCCCATGGCAGGGGGGTTGGAACTAGATGATCTTTAAGGTCCCTTCCAACCCAAACCATTCTATGATTCTATGATTCTATGATTTTACATACGGGGTTGGAAATCCAGCAGCTGGATGTGACATAGATTTAACAGAGTACTAAAACACTGAAAGAAACTGCCATTTCCCTCCCATTAAAAAAAATAATCAGTCATTGATTAGTTCTGTCATTAAAAGTGTTAACACAACAGAAAAGCAGGATATTTCATCCTGCCTTAAAGTCTGATAACAACTGGCTCTTGACTTGCATTTCACGTAGTACCCAAGATGGCTGAAATTTAATAGTGCCCAGATGCACTCACACACACAAATTACAGTAGCAACAGTTAGTCTCACATCAACCCCATAAAATTAAAGAAAACTTGGACAACTGCTTTACCAAACTTCTGGGCTCACATCATTCTCACAGGCCAGCCTCACAGATTTAACCTTTTTCATTACCTCTGAAAACCATATGGCACTGCCTTTTATGTACTAGTCAAAGAAGAGCTCTTTATACTATGTATGTCTTAAACAAATTCTTGATACCTTTGTGAAGGTAAGCATTTAAAATAAAAAAAAATTGATTCCTGTACACAGAGTAATAAGTACCTGCATTTCTGTTGACAGAAACGGGAAGCTACCTACCTGCCTATTTCCAAAAATAATGCCATTACTTTATCATTCATATATGGCTCCCCAGTCTCCTTTAATATCTAGTGGTTGCAATAAATCATATTCTCAAATCTGGCACAGACTACTCTGAAAGGTTTGCCAACCCACAGAATAGTGTTCTTCAATAACTGGCTTCAAACAGATATAGAAAAAGCAATATGGGCTTCTATGCTTTTCACATGCACCCACTGTAACAGCTACCTTCAGGAAGAGAAGCTAAAACGCAGACATCTATTTGTGCCATAATATTAATGATTTCAGATAGGGTCATTTGTCTTCCATTTAAGCAACTGTTAGAGCTCAGTGCCTGTGAGACGAGATCGGGACTGTTACCATCTTCTCCCAGCACCATGCTCTACAGTTTCCCTAGCTCGAGTAGAAGAAATGATAAAAAGGGCAGAAGAGGTTCCACTGGTTACTGGTTTACAATTATGAAAGCATCTTTTCCTGAATACATGGTTTAAGTAACTCATTTCTGGCTCCAGCTATTAACTGTTTTCTTTCCTCCTACTCCCTCAACACCTCTAATGGCAATTCTCAGGCAAAATTAAATGTCTGGCAACACTTACACAGCTTTTCTGACCGCAGCACTCATTCAGTTAACTAGAAAACAATCCTGTTAAGGTAAAACAAGCTACATCTCACTTGAGTTCTGCTGAGCTGCTTATGTAATATTTACAGTAGAATTATTAGATAAACTAACTTTAATCATCAAAATGATACGTGATACGATTTTGAATTTAAACACTTAGCTAGTCTCAAGAACAACCAAACCATACATCTCTTCCCATCCAGTACCAAGGCCGTTTTGTAAATTTGTGCTTTAAAAATAGCTTCTATACTATCAATTTTGAAACCTCCTATTCCTAGAATGAGCCTGTATTTGAACGCTCTTCAAAACTAATTCAGTTCCTGTATGTGCCATAAGCCCTGCCATACCTATCACTGCTTGCCCAGGCTGCCCCTTACTGTCGCTGCCGCAAAGTACGGACCATAAAATCAAGTACGGCCTTCACCTTGGCAGTTGCTAGCAAGAGTCATGCTTTCCTCGTGTTTAGGACTGTACACTAACTCTACAGGCCTCCAGGGCTCAAGCCTTTGAGTTATACAAAATATTACAGCTCAGTGTCTTCTAATTTTTGATCAACAAGTTTAAATACAATAAAGGTGAATCAAGAGCACCTTACCATTATTGTTCCTCCTGCCTGGGTTCGTAGAGGTTTCAAAACTTTCCTCTGAACAACGAAATTGGGAAGAAAGGCAACTGGTGGAATTTCTGTGATTGTAGCCACAACAAATGACCACTACAAAGGAGAAAAAAAAAAAAACGTTCTAATTAATGTAGCTTGTCTTAATGATGACATTCAGATGTCTCATCAGCTGCTACATACTGAAAAGGAGCACACACATCCTGAGCAAGATTTTTAGTGTTTTTCGATTAAGGTGACCTTACTAGTAACCTCCAAGCAGGTTCATCCTCACGTTTACTAACCATAAGAATCATCACTTTCAATCACCATCACTAGGTTTTCCAGAGTTTTGTATCAAAAGGCAACAAAGTTTTGCAGGAGTATTTCAGAATACCTAATATCCCTGGGATTGGGAAGAAGAATTTTGAAATGTCCTTCAGCAGTATTAATAGCAAGCTACACCTATATATTGTTCAAACCTAAAATATCTTTTCTCACGTCAAGTCAAGATGTACCAAGGAGAAAGGAAAAACAAAACAACTCAACTAAGAAGTCCAAATATTTAAGTGAACACGCAGTGCAAATTCTAGCATGGAGAACAGATTCAAATTTACTTAGCATATTAAACACTCTTGAAAAATGTTTCAAGGAAACATTTCATTAAAAAGCTGTATCATCAAGAACATGATCTGAAGATTAAAACACAAAATATTTGCAATACGTAAATGCTTTTTTTTTTTTTTGGCAAACATATACAGATCACTTCAAATTGCTTCTACTAACACTGCGACCAGCAGTAACTCTAAATAGATTTCAAAGCATAAGTCACAAACAAGAATATACCTTTTCAGCCAATACTGAAACATTCAGGTACTGAGAATTAAAAATCTGACACTCTGTACAAAGATGCTGATTAGATCCTATTTCCTTCAACATTAGGAAAATTAACCAGATTCCATACATTCGTTGCCTTACTGTTAGCCGTCTGGTTACAAATGAGAGGTTGTACAAGTAGTCCATTTTAAATGACGACAATCCCATGCCTCTTGGAGGGTCCTCTGATCACTTAGCTAATTTGGCTTGCAAGTTATCAATGTTTCAACTACAAAGTTCTACTGGGTGAGGTGGAGGGGTTGCATTGTTTATGAAGTCCTAGCTACTTTTTTTAATTTTTAAGAGTTCACTTTAACATCTTACTACTTTTATATTTGTAAAGTATTATTCCATTACCATACTACCAGCTCTCCATCATTAACAAAGTATTTTAATTATTTTCTAATACAGTCAATCTTGATAAATCCTTTCATATTTTAGCTTTTAAACACACATGATGTAAAAAAATTAGATTAAATCCTATTGTTCTAAAATAGAATTGAAAAAGTCACATTTAGACAAAACAACTTTTGATCTCAAAGATGAACGATGATCACAATTTCAGAAAGTTTTAACACAGTTCAATAAAATTTTAATCTCAACTGGTAGAAGCAGAAGCAATAAAAACTCAAATCAAAACGTATGCTGTGGCAGGTTTTGTAGTGAATGCAAGAAATCCACACGTGGTACAAGTAAAGAGAAGCAAAGCTTTCGATTCACAGCTGAAGACACTTAGACAACAGCACCAAGCCCAAAGACACACACTGCTTCAGACTCAGTCCTTCACTGTGTTTATATAATTCATAATGGATGGGAGAAAAGTCGTTTATCTGAGAGGAAAGTCCCGGGGTTCAAGAATGCAGCTACAAAATAATGAAAATGCTTCTCAAACAAACAGCTATACAATAATTGAGAAATATATTGCCTCAAACTGCAGACAGTTTTGCCATCTTTTTCTTCAATGTGCTAATTTTGTTTTCCAACATTTCCTGCAATGAATTCTCAGAACAGCTATGTATATACTTGAACAAGAAATCAAAAGGAATTGGTTTTATAGAATTGTGTAATTTTTCATGCTGTAAAAATAATAAATGATTTTGAATACACGAGGACTACATTAATTATGTTTTCCAGGTCGTCAGCTGACTTCCATAAGACAAGTCTTCACACATGAGTTTCCTTTGATAGAGAACAAACTCTTTAATTTTTTCTTTCTTTTAATATATTTCTTGCATTCAAATTGCATATATCAGAACACTATCAGTTACTATTTCTTTTGGTAGGTACTTGCTCTCACTCAGCCATCACCAAATGACTGATTCTCTTGTAAAGTTTTGTAGATACGTAATTATGTGTAACAGAAATTAAAACCTGGTCTGGATTCATCATATAAAGACTATTCAACAGCATGCCTTCACTTACTCTTTTTAGTTATCAACTCCCTTTCACTCTTTTTTTATTACTACTGCTCCTATTGTAAGATTTTTTTAAATTGTTTACCTTTCTCTGTTTTGGATGAATAATTCATTGTATGAATTTAAGTTTCAATTTCGAAAAAATTTCACTCCCTGTTTTCGTAAAAGGAATAAAGAAGTCAAGTTAGCCCTTAACCAGGTATATTCTCCTTTAATACATGCCTCCTACCAAATTAAATACTAGGGAGTATCATCAGATGTGGCTGTGTAACACTATACCAAGATGTTCCTTAGAAAAAATACCCCCAAAATAATACAAACAAACAAATAACCTCAACCAAACAAAAAACTCCCAACTTAACGAGTTCTTAATTCTCCTTGCTTAAGACCAAATCTGTAACATATATATGAGGATATTCTTGCAGGACTTTGTAAGTGAAGTATTAGAACTATTAACTTTAACTCCTTAACTATAAAAATTCTTCTTAGTAAGGTTAAATGACTTTACAAATTCTTTCAATTTATAAGTGTTCAAGGACTAAAAGTTAAACTGAAAAACTAGTATTAGGAAGATAAAGCTAAAGTAGTTGCTTTTATGCTGATACATCCCATCTTAATACAAACAGCACATTAATGATCAAACCCAAGCTCTGATGTACTGCCTTTTATGTTATGCATTCATTGCATTCCAACATTTTTAAAATAGCCAACACCACATGGAATTAAAAAAAAAAAAAAAGTTGTTCATAGCCAACTAAATTTAAAACCATGCTTAAATCTTTGATAAGTTCCTGGAGCTAGTCCCAGCTTCAAGGGAAAATTCACGAACTTACAAATCCAACACCAAGCAACTAAAGTGATTTTATATTTAGAAGCTTGCCTGGGACAAACTATTTGGATCCATCTTCAACAGATCAGGAAGGATGTTTTTAGTTTGAATTAGTATACGATAAAATTATAAAGAGAGTAGAAAGCTTGTAATTTTCACAGAAGTTTCTAGGGCAATATACAAATACACTATTATCATCCAGAATAAGACACTGGACTGGTAGAGACTGGTGATTACCTGGTGCTACACCCAAGAAAACCAACCAGGCAGCTGGTGCAGTCTCCCAAACAGTGAGTTGGAAACATTAAAAGTAAAGAAAACTATTAAGCAAATGCTCCCTTATCCTTTTCTTTAAGAGGTCTAATAGTTACTTCAGCTGCAAAGAATGCACTACAGCATTTGCACAGCGGCGTAAATACCGAAACCTGTCAGACCTTGATCCCCAAGACCGAGTATCCTCATTCAGTGTTCTCTCTGAGCATGTTCAAATATCACTACCTTTCAAATAACATTTTTCTATATTCCTAGAGACTTTTACCTAACACATTAACATTTACATGAAAATTTAGGTGAAGAGGATCAAATTCATTTATCTGCTCTCATGGCATTCTTAAATTAGCTTTTTACAGCAAACCATTGCTAGCCTTCATCAATTTTTCACCAACAAGGGTTGAAATCATTGAGCAAGGAAAAAGCACAATGCAGAAAGCTAACAGAGACAATGTGTGACAGCACAACAACTACACGAACTAAGGAATTTTAAGGACTTCTGAAGTTGGCCATTTTAACCAACCCAAACCCACACATTTTCAGGTGCCGAGCTGCCTACAGGCACTAACACAACACCCACAGCCCAAGATGCACTCTGTGCTGTTTTATCTGAACACCTCAAACAGCCAGAGGTATCACAGGCTGAAATGATTATCCTATGAGCCTGCTCCTACTGCCTTCATTCCCGAGTCCTACCTCCTTCCCCAGGCACCCTGCCTATACCACCACGCGAGAAAGAGGCAGGTACCTCTTGCAAAAGATGCAAAAGGCATCTTCTGGCAAATTCACTCACAGGACCAGGCAAGAGTCAAAGCACACAAGCACTTTGGCACCAGAAAACACTCCCCATAATAAAAATCAATCCACCTTACACTAGCCATAAAAATTTACATTTCTAATAAAATTATTAACTTTTATTTTTAAACCTATGTAATTTGCAAATATATAAAACAGATTAAAATCTGTAAGTTCAATGTACTGACCACCTGTTTCAGATCACTTTCAAGAAAAGGACATCTTGCATTCCACTGACACATAAGCATTATCCTCACCATTTGCATTTCAGTCCTCACTCACATAAGTTATCATAGAGCCTCTCCTAGATAAAAATGGGTCAAGTGACAGTCTTACATGGTCTGAAACTAGCTTTAAACATATTGCCTATCTTCTTCCAAATTTCAGAATGATGATAGGCAGGAAATTTGTTATTTTACATAACACTAGAAGGCAGCAGTAAATGGAAAAGTACTGCAAGCAAATGATCCAGAATCCAGTCATTACCTTAGTGGCCTAAATTCATAACAGGAATAACTGTGGTAGAATTGCCTCAATTCAAAGGGCCGAATTTTTTGTAAGGACTAGCCATGTAACCTAAACTAGGGCAACAGGGAGACCCTGCCTTACACCACAGAACTCATTTCCAGTACTGTTTGATCTACTTTGTGCATGCCATTGTTTCTCTTCAACCAACCTCCAGCCAGCTTCTTCAGCTGCTGCTAAGACACCAACCACCACCACTTCTTGCAAGTGTATGGAATTTCCTACCAAATTCATGCCTGAATTTTAAATGAATAATTCTGAAGTCATCTATTATTTTAAGAGACCTAGGCATTCCCAGAAACCCCAGCACTTCTGTAAGTCTTCAGAGCTCATCTAACGTAAAATTATGGCATTTATTGGTAGATCTGTATTTGTCTGGATTTAAATAAAAAAAAAAAAAAATAGCA